AATCACTAACAACAATCACATCACTTCATGGACCAGTAGCGATCACATAAAACCGTCGGTGGACCGACACCTCGCATGTTATTCCTCCCGCCTCTGCCGGCGACTGCGCATGCCGCGTCTCTCCTCAGTGTCCGTATCCGCCGTAGCTTCCGTATCCGCCTGCAGCTTTCGTGTTCCGCCGTGCCAGCGCACGAGCCGAGCGGTCGCGTCCCGGGTACTTTTGCCGTAGTAAGAGCTGAAAGATTGGCCAGATTCTGTTGAACGTTCGCACTGGTGGAAGTCTCGTAGACGACCTGTCGGCTGTGGCGGCGAAGTAGTAGTGCGGTACCGTAACCGTAGCCACTCGCCGCCGCCAGGGGGCAGCACGCCAGCAGCTGCGCAGATTTTTATGAGAATTATAGGTTATAGAGAATTTTAATAGAGACTACAAAGTGAATAGAATGCGAATTGTCATTAAAATAAATTTGCCGTTACTAACATACATTAAACATAATATACGCCGACGTATATGTATGACATCTCGGTTATTATACAACCGCGCAGCGGCACATTCGCCGCACGTACAGACTCGCGTAACACACACACACACGCACGACTACGCATAGACTCGCGGTTAGCAGACACACACACACACACAACCCACACACACACACGGCACGTACGTACCGCACGCACGCACGCAACGCACGCGCACACATACACACACACAACACCACCAGCACACACACACACACACCACACACCACACACACACCACGGCAACATCACACACACCATTACCACCATCACACACACACCAACACACACATACGCAAACACACACACACGCACACACGCACGCCACCACGAGCTCCAGTGTGTTTCTTACCGAATATTGGCGAGCTCACACAGCCTCCAGTAGCGCTGCTAGTCTTCACTGTCATTCATAGCCTAATAGCTCTCATTAGCTAATAGCTCATTCATAGCTAATAGCTTCATCATAGCTTAATAGCCTCATCATAGCCTAATAGCCCCTCATCATAAGCTAATAGCTGATTCAAGCTAATTAGCTGCATCATTTAGCTAATAGCTCATCATTAGTTAATAGCTGATCCTAGCCTATAGCCTCATCATAGCTAATACGCTCATCATAGCTAATAGCTCATCATAGGCAATTAGCTCATTCATAGCTAATAGCTCAATCATAGCTAAAGCATCATCATAGCTAATCATTAGCTTTCTTCCTCTAAATGCAGTCCGGCTCTAGTTATTGCCAGGTAATACCCTGGACGTACCGCCTTTCTTTGTCTTCGCGATCTAGGCCTTTATCGCGAATCGTCGCGCTGTATTCCTTCATCGGAATCGGTCGGCCTGTATTCTTTCCACGTAATCATCGGCCTGATATTCCTAGACGGAGTCTGTCGGGCTGTATTTCCCTACAAGAAATTTCTCGGCTGTATTCTTACACTGAATCGCGTCGGCCGTATTCCTTTACATTGGAATCGCTACGTCTATATATTCGAGAGTGCGAATCGATACGCTTGTATTCACGCGGCGCGCATTCCTCTAACCCGTTGGTAGTTAGTATATGTTTACATTGGTGAGGACTTTCTCTGTGTGTTGTTATATGAATAATTCAAGAGTACATAAGCGGCGGATCTCCCATTAGATGTACTCATGATGTATATATATATTTATATATTATATGTGTTCAATAGCTAATATTCCTCCATATATAAAGTATTATAGTTTAATATTCTTTTATAAAGGCAATTAGTTTAGCTCTTGTGTTTATATGATACTATATATATATATATATTATATATATACTAAATAATATATACTATATATATATATATTTACCTGTGGCGCGTGTCTGTGCTTGCGCCAGGTTCCCGTCTTGCCTTGGCCGGTGCTACTGTATCAGGTATCTTCCGCGTTCGTTCGTCTGCCAGGCCTAGTGCGGTTCGCGTCGCAAATGACACGGTCTTCATATATACCGCCTCACTGTATCAGGACGCCACGCCACGCACGCACGCACGCACCGCCTCCAGAACAGGTAACGTAACGGCGAACCAGAAATTCCCGTTATTGCCTTTCTTCTTTCATTTTACATGTTCATTTGCTTGCGTATCAGTAGCCTCATCGTGTGCGTGCGTGGCGTGGTGGCGTGCGTGCTGTGCGTGCGGGCGCTGCCGTGCTTGCTGTGAGTGCGTACGTGGTTGCGTGCGTGCGTGCGTCGTGATGTGCTGTGCAGTCGCCGTTGCGTGCGTGCGTACGTGCGCTGCTCAGCAGTGCCGCTCGGGAACTCGCATGCGGCCGGTGTGGGGTGTGCAGTCGCGTGCGTACGTGCGTGCTCGCGTCGCGTGCTCGCGTGCGAGGTGCGTCGCGTTGCGTGCGCTGCGTGCGTGGGTGCGTCCGTGCGTCGCCGCGTAACGTGCGTGTGTGCGCTGGGTGCCGTGCGTGGTGTGCGTCTGCGTGCGTTGTATTCGCATGTTGGCCTCTTCTCGCAGACTGCTGCCTCCCACCACCACGTAACGTGTCAGCTACGAATCATGACGTCACAAAAATGTTTTGCTCGGGCCAAACATCTTACATCTACAGTTCTCTGATCGACGCGCCTGTTTTGCCATCTAGACGAGCTGGACAGGATCAACAAGCCTCGAAACTCGAAATGAATTTATAATAAAATAAAATAAAAAAATACCTAAAAGAATCTGAGTGGCGGCACGCAAGCCAATAAATGAGTCGCCCCTAGTACATTAAAACGCACAAAAGTATACATATACATTAGGATTAATACTGTTTAGGCGTTGGGAGGTGATTTTCCGATCGATATTCGCGTACGATCGATCGGATTACACATGGGCGGCGCGCGCGTACCATCTACTATTTAAAGCGACTACTTCATTGTGTGTTCGTTGCGCTCGGACATACAAAAACTCGCCTCGCATGGCCACAGCACGACAAATCCAGGTTGCGCCCAATTTTACTCATTTCGCAGCTACGACACACACATTATATTATAATTATATATATAATATATATATATGTGTGTGTGTGTGTGCTGTGTGTGTGTGTGTGTGTGATGTGTGTGTGATGGTGTGTGCCTGTGTGAACTGTGTTATGGTGCCGCACTTGTGTTGTGTGTGTGTGGTGTGTGCTGTGTGTCGTGTGTGTATGCTGTGTGTTGTGTGTGTGTGGTGCTGTTGTGTGGTGTGTGTGTGTGTGTGTGTGTGTGCCTCGCGCGTGCGTGGCGTGAAGGTATAGAATACGATATACTGGTCGATATTGCAGCAAGGGGCCTTCCGTTCCTATCTGTGATGCTAGTTTCTCCTTCTCTCTCTCTCCCTCTCTCTCTCTTCCCTCCCTTCTCTCTCTCTCTCCTCTTCTCTCACTCTCTCTTCCCTCTCTCCTATCTCTTCTCCTCGCTCTCTTCTTCCCTATCTTTTCTTCTCCTCTTTCCCTCTCTCCTCTCTCTCTCTCTCTCTCTCTTCTCTCTCTCTCTCGCCTCTTCTCTCTCTCCCCCCTCTTCTCTCTCCCCTCTCTCTCTCTCTCTCTCTTTCTTTATCTCCCTCTCTCTCTTTTTTTTATCTCCCTCTCTCTCTTTCTCTTATCTCCCTCTCTCTCTCTTCTTTCTTTTCTCTCTCTCTCGGGCTCTCTCTCTCTCCCTCTTCTCTCTCTCCCCTCTCCTCTCTCACCTCTCTCCTCCTCTCTCCTCTCTCTTCTCTCTCCCGTTCTCTCTTCCCCCCCTCTCTCTCTCGCTCTCTATTTCTTACTTTACTCTCCCTCTCTCTCTCTCCCCCCCTCTCCTCTCTCGCTTCTCTCTCTCCCTTCTCCTCTCTCTCTCTCTCTCTCTCTTTCTCTCTCTCTTTCTCTTCTCATCTCTCTCTCTCTCTATATATATAATATATATTATATATTAAATATAATATATATGTGACAGTCCCTCGAATTCGTCATCTCGCTGTGTGCGTCAGGATTTTGTGCATGCCCCAACAAAATGTGCGCTGAACCGACGCCAATGAATGCTGACGACGCCAGAAGGACGCCAGAAGGACGCCAGGACACGCGCCACAAGCGCGCGGACCAACGCCAGGAACACGCGGAGCACACGCGTGGTATTCGGTATGCTTCGTCGCCTGAAGGTAGCGAAACACCTACGTGCTTCTAACGCATGTCCAGCGAACATGCAGCCGAATATGCGGCGTGCTGAATGAGTGCCTGAACGAGTCTGTAGCGCACTCCCAGCGTTCTTCTAGCGATGTACGCAGCGTGTAGCCATGGGTATATAAACGGGTCCCCGCCCCACCTCCTCATCATCACTTCGTCCCCGACCCTCATGGGTGAGACAGAGGTTCCTGCTGATCGTGTCTAAAGAACCACATCAAAGATGGAGGATCCCGATCAGGCTGCGACTACAATACGAAATCGCGGGTTCTCCAACATCAGCCAGAACCTCATAGCGAACTGGCCACTTTTTTTCACCAAGTTCCATGTCAGAGCTAAGGAGAAAGAGAAGACGGTCAACGGAGGTTCTGCCGGCACTTCTGACGTGCGATTCGGTAGGCGACGATCAGTTTGGCTGTATGACAGTACTTGTTGAACTCCGTAATCGAGACCCCCCCCCCCCCCCCCCCCCGCCCCCTCCCCCCCCCCCCCCGCCCCCCCCCCCCCCCCCCCCCCCCCCTGGCAGCCTTCAATGAACTTCATGGCGGATGCCCCGAGATGTTGAC